ACATTTAGAAAATTAGAATGAAACTATAATTTATGAACAACCTTTGAACGACGCTAAAATGACCTTGTAAGTATCCACCTAACAACTAGGACCAAATGAAGGTTATAAAATATTTTAAGGAAACCGAATCATAATTTACAGTTGATAGTTAAAGTTAGCGATTAGATCTACAGGTTGTCATCACGAACTGATATCAGCTATGATACAAAACTTCTATTTACCCTAATGGAGAAATGAATTTCGCGCCAAAAAAGAGACCTGTTATCTTATATCTGATTGGTTCATCCATAAATCATAGTTTTGCCGAAATTAGAATACCTCAGTAGTTTATTTCTGGCTCATAGTTGTGTACAGTCAACTATTTTAAAAAAAGTAACCTTAAATAGCCCAAAAGGGAAGTAATTTTGTACTGCATTATCTTGATAAATGTCAATCAATCTGTCATGATTATGACATCATCAAATCATTCCAACCTTCTTTTTTTTATCAAATTTAAGAGAATTTTGGTATAACTTCTTGTGAGTTGATTTATTAATTCAATGTTAAAGAGTGATATCTGAGTTTATTGTTTATTCACAGAAATGATGTAATATGACTCTCAGCAGTGTCTATCCATGATCCCGACTTGCGAGATTCAAACACAGGATCTATCAGTCTCATACGGGAACAGTTAACCTCTAGAACACTGAAGTAGACGACATCCAACAGTGTTCATGTCTAACTTCAACTAATCCACAAAATTGAGCGACACATCCACCATTGTCTTCAGTGAGTTACAATCTCACAACAGATCCAGTTAAACTCCACTGGTCACAGATTCTCACTAGAACACTAGGTAATAACTCTTGGTGACAATCACTAGTGAGCATATGATGATTATAATCAGAGAGAGTTTTGTGAAGATTGTAATAAATTAATAATTTAATCCTCCTTCACGAGGAGTAACAGACGTAAGTAAACCACTAAATCACTGGTATCCACGTTCACTACAATGTAAATTTCATAGGGCTTGACAAACAGAACACATTAACTTTAATTCATATATAAAATGAACAAAATTGTAATCATATTCCTTTACAATTTATTAATAGATTTACTTTCATTATATTTATTTAGTGAACTTATCCTAACCTGGCTTGAATCATGCTATTTTAAGGGATCTCTATGGAGAGCAGCACTGTTTCCTAATGCAACAAATTGAATATAAAAGAAGAATAAATCAATACAAATCAATATTGTTACATAATCTGTTGAACATATATTCTACATTTTTAAATTATTAATCATCATATGATATTATGGTAAAACGTGTTCTATTGTTAACGTGTAATAAGTGACTTCAAGGACTGATGCCATGTTTTGGTTTCGACGTCCCTAACTTTTTACTAACCATCTTCAACACTAGTTAGCATTGTGTGTCATGGTAATCGGTGTTTAGGCATACGTAACACATGACCCAAGCATCTTAGTCGATAAAGATTCACAACCTCATCAACTGATTAATCATTATTGTCTAATACCCTATGTTTAACCTCACTTTTACTTACCCAGTGATCTCAGCAGATGCAAGCAATATTTAAATAAAGCAAGAACAAATAATGGTGCAGAATAGTATGAATTCATATTATTTCGAGGTTTCTCGTCAGCTGCTTACAAACCAAAATTGTGATAGAATTTGTGTTACATGGAGATAGTGTGAAAACAATTGACATAAATGAGTGTAAATAACTGGGTTACAATAATAATTGTAAATATATATATATATATATATGCTAGAACAGGTCAGAGGTCAAAAGGAATTAATTCGGGTTGGGTGATGTAATAATGGAATTGAATAATTATAAGATAGGTTACGTAATAATAATAAAATAGAATTTGAAAAGTTAAGATAATTTAAGAGGATCAGGTGGCGGAAATGTGTGAATGATAATGTGGTTTAAGAATTATGTAATAGGGGAGGAGTATAAATATTTCCAAAACATCTGTTATCAAGTACTAGTAGCTTACAAGTATCCTCTACCATTAATGACCATAGTTCGCAATCATAAAGTGCAAAAGAACAAACTGCCGCTCAGTATACTCGTCCCTCCCTGAAACCTTTTCATTCACTTATATATGCATATGAAATCTAGATACAGCATAGCACTGAAAAATAGGATGCCTCATTAAGCATCATTCCCTAATACCCTGCGTCTAACCTTACTATTACTTACCCGGTGATCCCAGTAGATGCAAGCAATAGTTCTAAGGCATTTAGATGGAAAAGTTAAATTAGTTTTAGAATCCAATTTAAATCTTTATTAATAAAACAAATTTCAATTCGCTGAGAACATTGAGAATCATGTCTTTCATATAATCTACGAATAATAGCACTGTACAACAAAGCAACACATATAGGAAATAATCAGGCATCCAGGCATTCACAGTAAGACTGTTCAAGTTATTTTCTTTCATGAGTAGTAACTACGTACTACAGAGTGGTTCCATAACACAAAGAAACAACTTGATACAACACTTCCTACTTTTCCACACTATTACAATCAACGTCGATACGGTAACAGTAATAATGGAATTACGTGTAATATGAAACATGCATCTGAAATCACTCCCAGTTCATCGGAGTTTGGAGGGGAAAGACAAACTTAACAGACAGTTATTGAGATACATTAGCAAAATAATTATCTTGTTGAAGTTACTAGCCATGTAATTAGGTATTCAGTTTGATTTGTTCACGAGTAACAAGTACAGAATAAATTGACGTAAATGATTATAAAGCAGCTATGATAAATATTCATTGTTTCGTGTATATGTCAAATCGAAGTGCTATTCTCATTATTAAGAATAATTAATACATCAAACAACTGAAGTTTCATTCACAATAGGAAAATGTTTGTTTAGGAGATAATTCCCCCATGTGATCAATTTCTACTGATTCTTAATGTCTCATAGTTTTAATACAGTTCCATCGGAAATTGAAATTCAAAACTGACGAACAATACTAGAGATGTCCGATGAATGCTTGTTTTCATTCAATATTCTCCTTATTCAAAATCTTTGATAACAGACATCTCCTATCTTACAATGTATTTGCCACTATTCAATTGATAATTAGTAATAACAATGTTTTAAGTTGATGTATATGCTTTAAGTTGTCAACATGATTGATAACACGTATAAGTGAATGAATGTATCATTTAATGTATTCAAACGATATTGTTGTTTGATTCTTTGAGTGAAATACTTCGTGAGATAAACCGACCACACTAACTGAATAAATGGTTCAAGAATTCCATATATTATTTTTCAAATATACAAGAATTTTAATCAGAGAAAGGTTTTGTGAATATTATAATAATTGAATAGTTGAGTTCATGAGTCAATTGAAGCTAGACTACCATGGAAAACCTGGAAGCATTGGACGGCCGTTTCGTTCCATTGTACAACTCTTCAATAGTGTGCATCCACGATCCCACCGGGTTCCGGCTAGTGAATAATTCTCTAATTGTTATGGTTGATATAGTAAATTAACTGTAGTCAGATACCATCTCACTTTAGATCAAGTTAGCGATTTATGTCGTTTAAATTAAATAATTTTGATCGTTCCGTAATAGATTTTTTTACTTATTGATGCGTGGGTGAGAATAGTCAAACTTTTAGATAGTCTGACAGGAGTTAGATGAGTTATATGATTCCTCTTATTATTGATTGTTCATTTTCATTGGATTGTGTCGGGTTTTTGTTGTGGAGATATATGCACATTCTAGTCACTTGTTCTTGATCTGAGTTGTGTTGACGTCCTGTAGAATAGACACTGGGTGGGAATCTACTGTAGATATTCGTGTAAGGTAAATTAACGTTTTTGATGGAGTTTTGTTCTCTGAGCTGGGTGGTTTGGTCGTGTGGAGAAAATATAGTTGTTCTCGAGTGGAAGCCTGCCTTTTGGCGAAATTCGTTGTTCGAAAATGGGAGAATTTCGCCAAAAGGCAGGTTTCCACTCGAGAACAACTATATTTTCTCCATACCATTTCGTAAATTAACGTCCCATGCGTGTAAACGTGGAAGCCCAACCGTTATAACATTTATGTTTTCAATCCATATATTCTGAAATAGGTTGAAACATTTTTATGTTAAGTGTGAAACGAGAACTTATTTAACATAAACAAAACCTAAATAACCTATTTAGACTTAGATACTTTTAAAAATAATATTTCTTAGGGTTTTAATAGGACAAAATATGGTAAATATACACAACAGCTAACAAGTTTCACGAATCCAGTATCTTTTGTTATAAACATTTCTAAAATAATCAGAGAGGGGTTTTGTAGATATTAAAGTAATTTAGTAGTTGAACTCATGAGTCCATTGAAACTAGACCATCATAGAAATTCTGGAAACACTGGACGGCCGTTTTGTCAAAGTATACGACTTCTCAACAGTGCGCATCCACGATCCTGACCTGCGAGATTCCAACCCACGACCTCGCGCACGAACGCTTAACCTCTAGAACACTGAACTTGCCGACATCCAACAATGTTATTGTCTAACATCAACCAATCTACAAAATTGAGTGACACATTCACCATTGTTTTCAATGAGTTACTATTTCACAATCGACCCAGTTGAACTCCACTAGTCACTGTTTCTCACTAGAACTCAATGAAATACATCTTGGAGACTGTCGAAACCGCTATACAGTGCTTTTAGGTTTTCCATGATTATCTAGCTTCAATTAACTCATGATCTCAACTATTATAATTGTGATGAATCTTAAGAATCAAGTTTTACATAACTAATTAAATGGTAATAAAACAAACATACTTAAGTATGAAATCGAATTAATGCACTTGAGATAATCATTCAGTAACACTTTAAGTATATAGATATGATCATATAAGTTACATTGTATATTCGTAATAATGTTGTTCTTATTTGTGTGTATGTGTTTATGTGTAAACAAGGTTGTAAAATATAAATTACCTAATTGTTTACTAAACATACTCATGTTTAGACTTGGTCAGTATTTACTCATTTTGTCAGTAATTTCTATATTGCTCAAATCATGTAAGTTCATTGACACTCATAAAGAAATATATTCTATTCAGCTATTGTAGCCATTGGTAATACTGCCTATAAGTTGTCTAATTCTTATGTCATCAATAATCACTAATAGAAATAATCATGATAGATACTTTGAATCAATCTACTATTCATATAATGTCACTATCTAAAGAAGAGATGTCCAATTCACTAGAACATGATATGAAATTACAATTAATGGGTTGAATACACAGAGTAGTGTTCTTAGCATCCAGTCATAGGATTATTTAGTAATTCACAAGGAACTGTTGCAATACTATTTGATATACATTGTTAACTCAATCATGCCTAACCCTCCTCCTTTATCTGAGCTTGGGACCGACAGTAGCCCAAGAGCGGCTGCACACGGAGTTAATCTACAACTTTATTAGTTCATATATTTTTCATATTTCTATTTGATTCACTAAGAGGTCATGTTCATTAGGTATATGTGAAATCAGTCACTTAGTGAGGCTTGGTCTGTATCCAACTTTCTTTTGTTATAGTGTGTCATGGAAATTATAAAAGGAATCCAAAATCAACTTTCGATGAACCTGATCAGCATGAAAACGCAGTATCAATCATTTTAGTCAAATAATGATAATACACTTGATATTGTTTACTTGAATCTTCCCATTGATGTTTTGGGATTGTAATTGATCTGATTGGCATATGTGCATCCTGTATGGATTGCCTCGATATTGTCTTAAGTCACAATCATTTCAAGCAAAGATGGGTAGTGGCTAGCAGTGGGATCCAGGACACACATTATGTCCTATATGAAACGAACGGTACAGGGTTCGAGTCCCAAAGAAAACATCAACTCTGACATGCAGGTGCATCCAGCTGACGAGTCCCAAATAGGAGGAAACGCGCGTCTAACAGGCTAGCATATGGCATATCATTATGGCTTATAATGATAATACGTTTAAATGTGTAGATTCAAGGTATTGTGATTACGGAGAAAAGACATTATATGAGAAAGATCCATCCGGTTCATTGGAAGCACATTATAACTTGAAAAGTTGTCTAATGAAATCTTTGAGAGAAAAAACTCTTTTACTTGTAAGCTGACATTGTCTTTTCCAGCCGCCTCACCATCTGTGGATGCCTTAAAACTAACTACACTGTGTGGGTCACATGAATGTGTATTTATAAATTCACTTGATTTTTTTAAAGTAAGTTACATTGACCGCACAAAGTGATCACTTTCTAAACTCATCTCTGAATAGCATTCTGAGAGACTACCATGAGGAATCTGAAAGCAATGGACGGCTGTTTCGTCTTAGTATGAGACTCCTCAGCTGTGTGTATCCACGATCCTTCCCCTCGAGATTACCTTATTCCCTTTCACCAAATTTTTGATCATTCAGAAACTTTCTTCTGACTCATACTATGATTTAATCATTCTTCTATGTTTCAACATACTACTTTAGTTGTTGACTGACTGTAAATATAATTCCACAGCTTGTTAAATGATATTGTCTAAAAGAAAATTTGTTTTAACGAATTGCCTTTCATTCTTTTTTAATGACACCATGGATTATTTTTGTTATTACTTCTTTTTTCTAAATAATAGGTGATGCGAGGTAAGTCTTCTTTTTTCTTTATAGAGTACTCTATCTGTTTATTTGAATTCACAGTTATATAATATACCCTTGTGGGACAGGGTAATCTTACATTGGTTTTCAGGAGAACTGGACACCACTTAGACTTTCACGTGACAACCTAAACAGTATAGCTCAATCCCGTTTCACAGGAGGGTCATACACTACCTAGGCTTAAAATTTACAGCCAAAATAGTACGATTCAATCGCGTTCGCAGGAAAACCAGGCACCATATAAGTGACAGAGTTGTAATGATGTCGTCAATACCAGTGACGTTTAGGCAGATATTTTTTCTAATTTGTATAATCTATCCAACTTAATCTACAATTATACTTTTGATGCTTCATACTGAATTTTAGTTTCTTAAATTCGACATGGAACAAGTGAGTATTTCCTAAACCTGTTGTTTTGGTCAAGTAATTTTCTGAAATCATTTTTCGTCTTGTAACATAAAGGTGATTCAAGAGTCCTATTAAATACGATGATTATCATTGATCGTATTTCGGATTTTGCTCCTACCTAAGTTAGTTTCAACCTTAAATTGCAAATAAATTGGCATTTTACTTATCCGGTCACACTGTTTTTTCTGTGGTTGCAGTAAATGAGCGTGTTCTTTAGAAAAATACCGTTCAAAAGTATTAACTAATATTCACTTAGTGTTGTTCAATTGTATCTTCCCAATGCTATTTAGGACTACAATTGATCAGTCACATGTTGGCATATGTGGATCCTGTGAGGATTGCCTCGATATTGTTTAAAGTAACAAGCTTTGTAAGCAAAGATGGATAGTGGCTAGCAGTGGAATCCAGTTTGACGCTCATTTCGTCCTATTTGATGCAGGTACATCCAGCTGACAAGTCTCAAACGGGACGAAACGCTAGTCCTGCATTCCACTACTAGCCACTATCCATCTGTGTTTAGTGTTAACTAATGTTAAATATTTACCCTAGTCAATATTTTCTATATTTCATGTTTTAATAAATCTTTTCTTTATTGATAACATGCTAGAAAAGTCTAATGAACGTCAGATAAAAGAAAGAAAACTGTTGACAAATTTTGGGATAAAGGAAACTAAGAGATAATGCTCAGTTAAAAGAGAACCCTACTGAATACACTTTGTGATATAAAATAGATTTGAAAGTTATCCAAACATCTTTGTTTATTCTATTATTATACTGAAGATCTTCTTTGCTTAATGAACAATGTGTATGAAAATGTTTAGAAAGTCACTAATATAAATCTACAATTCTTTAATAACTTATTATAAAATCAAGTAATGTCTAATATACAGCAGGTTTCGCATGATGATCTAGATTCAAATGACTCATGAATTCAATTAATAAATTACTACAATCTTCACAAAACTCTCTCTGATTATAATCATCATATGCTCACTAGGGACTGTCACCAAGAGTCATTACCTAGTGTTCTAGTGAGAATCTGTGACCGGTGGAGTTCAACTGAATCTGTTGTGAGATTGTAACTCACTGAAGGCAATGATGGATGTGTCGCCGAATCCCGTGGATTGGTTAGAGTTAGATATTAACACCGCTGGATGCCAGAATTTCAGTCACTCAGAGGTTAACTGTTCGTGTATGAGACTGATAGATCCTGTGTTTGAATCTCGCGATTTGTAATCATGGATGAGCACTGCCAAGGAAAAGTTCCACAATAGAACGAAACGGTCGTAAAGTGCTTTCAGGTTTTCCATAGTGGTGTAGCTTCAATTGACTAATGAATTCAATTATTAATTTACTATAATGTCCACCAAGCTCCTTTCTGAATATACAAGTTAATAATTTACAGAATTGTACAACGAGTAACAAGTGGGTAAGTAATCATTCACAGTTTAATAGAAATCTGTTTTTATCTTACTTTATAACTTGGAAATGATGGTGAAACAATAATTTACGGACAACCTTTGAGAAACACTAAAGTTACCTTGAGAATGTCCACCTACTAACTAGGATTACATGAGGATTTTAAAACTGTGTGAAGGATAAGGATTGTGATTAGATTTAGGGTTTTCATCACGAACTGACATCAGCTATAATACCAAACCTTTATTCACCCAAATGGATGAATAAATTTCGCGCATATTTTCAAGATCTATTATCCTAAATCTGATTGGTTCGTCCATTTTCTCAGGAATAGTAACAGTTATGAAGTTTAAGAACTGAATTAATCAATAATTTATTAAGCATTCCAACAATATTCACTTCCTTATCAATGAAAAATGCCTTAATGTTAAGCAATTTCAATTTTAAAAAAACAAAAGCAAACATTTTATTCATTATGGTTTTTATGTATTGATAGCATATCCTCAGCCTTGTGTTGATAATGTTATATCCAGACTTTAGATTCCTAATATACCGTGTATAACTTGAGCTTTTGAACGCTAGAACCTGTTGAGTCGGCTTCTAGAGAACTTCAACGGAATCCTCAGAGGCCCGAAAGGAGCCGAAGAGTGTTATGGAACGTTCTAGAATTCCAACGTGGCGTGCTACTATTGGTCGGTAGCATAATATGTCGTTATCGGATTGGCTGTAAAATGATGTTGATTTAACAGACGCCAACATCTATAAATACCCATGATTTTCTGTACAAAAATGAACCTTGGGATAAAGTATTTTCTCTCATACTTGTGTCTTCTTTCTGGTGTTCAAGTCGCTGTATAGTTCTAGATTGCGGGTTACCGGAATAGCTTAGGAACAAGTAAAGCGTTCAGTTGACAAGACTTATCAGAACCCTCCGAATCGCAAATGAGAGAAAAGAGGAAAAGTGAAATGAATGCTATTCCAAACAATGTCAATTATGGTATTGATAGTTTTCAGTAAAAACGAAATCATCATTATAGTCCTCTAATCCGTATGCAGGGGGATTATTAGCATTTGTCCAATAGGGAATCTCCACGCAAGGATTCTGGAAAACTCTCCCAAAAGATGGTTGGATAGAATGTCTTTGGCTCTTTCTGAGCTTCTCATAGTTTCCTCGAGATCTTATCAACCATTTTTTGAAAATTATTTAAGTTTTTATTATTTATAGTTTGCTTGACACAACTTATACCTTAACAGAATAATGTATATTATGAATGGGTAACATTAAGGAGTTACAAATCTTTATCGTTGCCAGTAAGTAGATATTATCCAGTTCACTAACAAATACCGTTATAATGTTCAACACCATCGCTTGGTGTTGGCTCACTTGTAACTTCTCATTGTTATTTAAGACTACAATTGATCAGTCACGTGTTGGCATATGTGGATCCTGTGAGGATTACCTCGATATAGTCTTAAGTCACAAGCTTTTTAAGCAAAGATGGATAGTGGCTTACAGTGAAATCCAGTTTGATGAGCATTTCGTCCTATTAAGGACTCGTCGGTTGGATGTGTCTGCATCCCAGAGTTGATGTTCACGCCAGGACTCGAAGTCGAAAACACGATGGCATTTGAAGCGAACGGTACTGGGTTCGAGTACAGGAGTGAACATCAACTCTGTGATGTAGACACATCCATCTGACAAGTCCCAAATAAGACGAAACACTTATCCTGGATTCTACTGCTACCTACTATCCATATGTACACCATCAGTTTACATTTTTCAGAGTATTCTACTTTGATTTATAGTAAGTTTATTACATGTCTATACATTTATAAAGATGTTTCACTGTATAGATTTTGTGTAATGGTTTATTGAACGGATGCGGTATTATGATTATTTATAATCTGTCATAAATCACTGAAAGTTTAATTTGTTTAAGTTTAATTACCTTAACTTAATTAGATATTTCACTTAATAGTTGAGACACTGAATCATATATTGATCAACTGATGCCACAGTCGAGAATAGACTGCTAGTTTTTGATCTCCTAGATCAGCTCCTAACTGGAAAACATCAGTACAATGTTCTGAGGTTTCTTCGTTAAACACTTTTGAATTGAAGATAAATGATCATTTCGTGCCTACTGAAAATTTCATTGTAGCACCTTGCATTGATGAAGCTTAGGTTAACAAACTTATATGGAAATAGGATCATAGGAGTGATCTGCATAGAATCCTATGCAGGAACCACGAATTATAAAAAGCAATTTCTGAAAACGAAATGTTCTTATTTTGCCGATTAAATGCTCTGTCAGTAAACTATAGGACATTAGCAGTTGGCAGAACTTCAGCTTATTCTAAATTACTGAAGATGTTAATAAAAATAATGAAATTTGAATGCTTTTATATTATTCAAATGCACACGAACCTCATTGTAACGTTACACAAGTTCTGTTTGATTCATTGTCTGTCAATTGTTTTGATAGTAGTTCAAGAATATGCCCATTTAGGATCAGTTCACTTAAAGTAGGTTATTACATTGAAATTTCCCACAGATAAATTATTACTATCTCAGGACAAGAAGGTGAAAACACGTTATGCACCTTCAAGATAAATGATGAAGTTGACTGTTTTAATAAACGAACATTAGATGTATGTCATTAATGGAGCAACTTCATAGTGAATTACTCATTTACTTACTTACACCTGTCACTCCCAATGAAGCATAGGTCGCCGACCAGCATTCCTCAACCCACTCTATAATGGATCTTTCTTTCTAGTTCTATCTAATTGTTTTTCATTCGACTCATATCTGTCTCTATTTATCGACGTAATGTGTTCTTTCATCTTCCTCTTCTCCTTTGGCCTCGAAGATTCCAAGTGATGGTTTGCCTTGTGTAGCAGTTAGTTGCTTTCTTTAATGTGTGTCCTATCCACTACCAGTGCTTTTTCCTGATTTCTTCCTGCGCTGAAATTTGATTTGTTCCCTCCCTCAGTAGATTGTTGTTCATGATAATGTCTGGCCAACAGATCCAAAGTATTTTGCATAGACAACTTCACAGTGAATAATTTGTATCATCATAATATAATTGATTTTACAAAATTACTATGTTATATTTATTCTTTTTTTAGTTTATTGATATATAACTGGCTCAGAAGTTGCATTCTAGATACGGAAAATCTTCGTGAAGTATTCTATCCAAGTGAATATGATGATATATAAGTTGTAATATGATTTTGATGTAATTGCATAAATCAAGTAAATCAAGTACACTATAACTATTAACTAGTTCTAAATCTAAATAGTATTTTCTATTGTCTTATTATGAAAGGATTACGTAAAGAAACATTAATTATCATTATTGACATTACTGTATGGTATCAATGAGGTCAAAGAATTGATATTTGACAACACTGTATTCAGAAAGGGGTTTTTGTGAATATTATAGTAATTTTAATAGTTGAAATCATGAGTTAATTGAAGGTAGACTATCATGGAAAACCTAGAAGCACTTGATGGCCGTTTTATCCCAATGTGACACTCTTTAGAAGTGCGCATCTATGATACCGTTCAAGAGATTCAGTGCTTACAGATTTATTCGTTTCAATGAAAAATTCTAGAGTTTAAGCGGTTTCACATGAGAGTGAAGGTTCTGAGAACGAATCATGCGCATGGGATTATGGATTTACGCTATTGAGGAGTCTCATATTAGAATGTAACGGTCATTCAATAGTTCTAAGTTTTTAATGATGATGTAACCATAAATCGATTCATAACTTTAATTAAAGTGGTTAACATTTTGTTATCAAATAGAATTCTTACATATTTAGAGCGGGATTTTGTGGAGATTGTAGTAATTTAATTATTGAATTCATGAGTCAATTGAAGCTAGTCCACCATGAAAAGCCTGGAAGCACTGGAGGACCGTTTCATCCTATTGTGGAACTCTTCAGCATTACACATCCACGATTCCGCTTTGTGAGATTGTAACTCAGAACCTATCGGTTTTGCGCGCGAACTGTTAACCTGTAGAACACTGAACTTGCCGACATCCAACGATGGTAATGTCTAACTTCAACTAATAGACGAAATCAAGCCACGCGTCCATTAGTGTCTTCAGTGAGTTACTACTTCACAACAGACCCGGTTGAACTGCACTGGTCACTGTTTTTAACTAGAACTCTATAAAACACCTCTTGAGACCAATAGGTGTTGGGTTCGAATCCCCCAGGGCGGTATCGTAGATGCACACTGCTGAGGAGTCTCGTGTTACAATAAAACGGCTGTCCAGTGCTTCCAGCTTTTCCATGATGGTCTACCTTCAATTGACTGATGATATCAACTAATAAAACACTGTATTCATTTAGTAATTACCTACTCATGCGCGATATACTTTGATACAGGACACTCGTGTGCCTGATGAAAACTACCGGGACATTTACATATTCGTTCATACATTGATTATCTAATAGTTCAATGCTTTACATATGTAGAAAGATTTTGATTAAAGTAAAAAGAATTTATACATCATACGATTCTGCGAAATGTCACTAAAAATCATACTGTGGTATGCTACTGATGTCGAGAGATATAAGTATTATTTATTATCAATCGAAAATGAGATGCTTAGAGGCAGAAGGTTAAGAAAATCCAGCAAAAGAGAACGAAAACAAAGAATGATTGGTGTTTAGATGGTGGTTGGAGGTAGTCAACAGGAAACCCTGGACTCGGGTTTCGTGCTACTTGACACTCGTCAGCAAGGTGTACCTGCAATCTTGAGGGAACTGGTGCTCCCTGGCGGATTCGATCTCGTGTCACCCAGCTTCACAGTCAGAAACGTTATCACTGAGCTATCCGTGCCGTGACTAACCTCCTGTAGGACTGAGATGTAATTACAATTGATTGATCACTGGGTGATGATCAATGTCTTGCTTGTCTAGTCCTGGGTGACACGAGATCGAATCCGCCAGGGAGCACCAGTTCCCTCAAGATTACAGGTACACCTTGTTGACGAGTGCCAAGTAGCACGAAACCCGAGTCCAGGGTTTCCTGTTGACTACCTCCAACCACCATCTAAATCTCAATACATAGTGCCCGCAGTGTCGAGTCACCTAGACTGGTGGCCACATTGCAACATGATCGATAGCATTCGATCTGCACTAATAAGGACTAGACAAGCAGGACATTGATCACCACCCAGTGATCAATCAATTGTAATGATTGGTGTGGAAACGAAAGAACAATGAGGTCTGAGACGACTGACTAATATTTTGCAAACGGAGCATTCACTGTTTGGTACTCGGACTTTACTAAGAGATTCTGTAAGTTTGTATTCAAATACATTCGATCGTCCCCTACTTGTGTTCTTCTTAATGGGGACTCTAAATATATTCATATCATAAGTATTATCGCTATTGACTTTGGAAAGTTACGTAATGTCAAGGAGTACCGAAGTAATCTGTAATTTACTATCGAAAATAAATTTTCAAAGACCAATACATTGAATGTACTATAAGACGGTCAATGTATAGGAAACCAACTTGGACGGTGACAATACTTAAATTTCCATAATTTCTGCCCATTACAATACAAGCGAGGCTTGATTAAGTGTCTCTTTAAGAAGAGTTACAAAATTTCTACTGCTGAAACGGTTGAATAAGATGAAAAGTTACTGACTGACACTTTAATCACAAATGGTTATCCACTAAAGTTTATTAATAGGTGTAAAAGTCAGTTAATGCCAAAATCTCGTGTTTATTCAGTTCCATATAGAGGTGAATCCAACAGTATAGTTTTAAGACAGAGATTGAAATCAGCCATAGAAAATACCTATTATGCTGCTCAATTGGTTGTGATTGAAAAGTCTAATCCCATGATTCTTAATAGACCTACACAATGCATTTATGATTACGTCACATCCGATTGTATATACCAATCTACATGTTTGTGTGGACAAACATACATAAGGAGGAGTAATCGAACAATGCAACCAAGGGTCATTGAACATGTGCCTAGATGGCTTCAAAATCAATGTGTGTCAAATGATCCAATCAACATAGATGGTAGAAAACCATGTTCACCAACAGCGAAACATGTAATTGAAACGGGCTACAAAATTATCATTAATACAACCTTTAAAATATCGTATAGAAATTGTCAAAGACGAATTCTCAAGTTTATTGAAGCCTTGGCTATTCGTAAATTTAGACCCCAGTTATGTGTACAAAAACAATTTGTTGTAATACTGGTAATCCTTAAGTCATTCTATGACCTAGGATAACGAGACAATTTCTTATTCTCTCTATACAATGTAGAATGTTTCTCTTGCCTTCGTTACCTTGACTTTTATTAATCTGCATATAAAATAACCTGACAAGTATATGTGTGATCAGATTGTTTGGAATGTATAGCACATATACATCACATTTTTATCAGATTAACCCCGTGTTCTCATTGTTCTATCGAGACATTAAATGTGACAATACTTGTGATTTAAGGTAATATCAAGGCAATCCGTACGTGATACACATATGCCAATCAGAGACTGATCAATTACAGTCTCAAAATATCAATGAGAAGATTCAAACAAACTGTATTTGATAAGCAAGTGATAAGGTGATCTAGAAAACTCCTTGAAAAGAAGCCAAAAATGGCTTGGAAAACATTGAAAAGCATCTTATTCAATCAGTATACAGTAAAAGTTGTGCCAGAAACATCTAGAAAGTAAGAAGTCACATGACAAGTTTCTGATTGAATGATTACTTATACTGCTATTATGTTTAGTAGCGTCCAGGGATTTCCTATAAACCCAAAGCCATCTAAAATATTATAAAAACCCTAGAATTTGTGTACATAAACAAACCTTTGGAGTAAAATGTTTTCTTTCATATTTCGCACTTCTTCTGTCATGTTCAAGTCGCTGTGTAGATCTAACCTGAAGAGCTTAGTAAACTGAATCTAGCGTTCAGTCAGAAGACTCATTATTAAGAATGCATGTTTACATAGTTTCAATTTATATGCATATGAATTGCTAGTTATCACCATAGAGATAAAGCTAAGGAAGAAATGTAAAATAGATACCTGAAACAATTAAATAATTATGCATTACTATACATAATGAAAACACTAGCCTGTGTAAAATTATTTAGCTATTCAATTACAAATGTAGCTTTATACTTTATTGTTTTTATTAAACGTTAAAAAAGTTAGAAATCTTCAGTGAATTTACGCTGACCATTTATGTTTTGATAATTAAGATGACTATGTGTCATATTATAGTTGAGAATTCTAATTAATGCGAAAATGATGCTGTTTAAATTCACATATGCCAACTTCACCCACTACACAACCCAGTGACTATCAGGAGTCAGTAACTAAGTGGATAACGCGATGGATTTTGAAACGGACAGTATTGGATTCGAGTCCTGTAATGACTATCAAATCTGAGATGCAGGCACATCCAGCTAACGAGTCCCATATAGGACGAAACGCGCATGATTGGCTAAGTAGAATGTCCTACTAATTACTTTCATTAACCTATTTTTCAGAGTATCGCTAGCCACATCCGCGTTAAATTATAGTTTCACGTGTAAAGGTTTCTTACAAAAATTCGAAATCTCCGACTTCTTTTTTATGTCATACATGTACTTCTTAATGAAAGCACTAGGGTAGCCGAACTCGGTCAGTGAGTTATTGATAAATTACAGTTCCTGACTTAAAGTATCTACTGTACAGATCCTTTTAGCTCTGCTAGTGAGACATCTAACCAAATTTCTCTTGTAGCGGATAGGTGTGAAACTATAAAAGTGAGTAGGCAGAGAGGCTTTTTCTACACACGCTTCTAATTAACGTGCCATCATTTCTTCTGCTTAGTGTGACGTCAAGGAAGTTGAGCTTTTCGTCATACTCACTTTCACCAGTGAAACTGATCGCTGGGTGAACACTGTCTAATTGTTCTAGGAGTTTATTCTTACTGGTGCTTCGATCAACGATAACCAAAGTGTCGTCAATGTAGCGGTAATATAAATCAAGCTTCCTAATGGTCTCATTAAGAGGTCCATTTTCTAACTTTGCTAGGAATAGATCAGCTAAAATCGAGCCTAGAGGTGAGCCCATGGCCATCCCGTCTACTTGTATATAATAAGTATTGTTGAAGACAAAATGGACATTCAACGTAAATCTTAAGAGCAGTTCCTTCAGACTATCCTCAGGCAAGCCAATGTCAATTTGTTTTTCTGATATTTGCTTGCATATAAACTCAATAGTCTCTATAAGTGGTACGTTGGTGAACAAAGAT